CCGGTTGAGGTCGAGGGCATGATGCCCTGCATCAGTTTGGGGTTACCCGTGTTTGGCCTTTAAGTTTTCCCTTTGTCTGTCCCTGCAGGGTGTGTTGTTTTCTCCTGGTGGTGCAAGCCCAGCCAGGCGGAAGCCTCGCGGCAGGCGTTGTTTGTTAGGGACCAAAACCTAGGCTGACGGACAGCCTGAGGCACCAGACTGCGGAGGTTAAAGGCTGTGGCTCGGTGCCCGAAAGCCTGCCCAACTGAGATGCCCAAATCAACCAAGCCCTCCCTGCGTGCAAGTGGTGTGGGTTCCTCTGGAGCCGCTGAGGTTGAACCAGTGAGTAAGAGCGAGAAAGTTGGTTCTTCCTCCCTGGTGAGTAAGTGCGAGAAAACCAGGTCAGCATACGGGGCAAACAGGAGCTCAGTGCTGCTGCGGCATGAGTTTCTGGGGCCTAGGTTAGTAAGTGCGAGAAAGCTTAGGCCTGCTCCGGAGGTTGGCGACTTTGCCAATCCACTTGTTTGCAGTTGTACAGGCATTGCCCATGTGTCGGTTCCGGACCTTCTGCCTTTTCTGAGTGAGCCGAATGTGGGTGAGTTTCTCCCCTGTACAGGCAGGGCTTATAGGGTAGGCAGAACAGACCAGGCAGTTCAACCTGCAGAACATTTGCCTAGGGCTTTGTATAGAGCCAAACCACTGAGTAGCCGTAGGCCGCCGAGCTTCTCGCGGAACTGGTTAAGCCCTCAACGCTTTCTCTCTGTGTTCCCTGCACATAGTTCGGCCGTGTTAAGCAGGCCAAGGACACCTCGAGAGTTTTTCCCTTTTCTGTGCATAGTTAATACCTTCCGGAACTTCGGTTCCGAAGAGCCTAATCTGGCTAGCGACGCAGCCCGCTTTCGTGTGATATGTGTGACCCTCCTAGTTTCCCAGTTGACACGTGATGTGCACTTGAGTTGTCTGCTGTGAGTGTGAAGCATAGGCACGAGGACATGTCAGGCAGTGCAGATTTGTTTTTTGGCTTGGTGAGACCTTGTTTTGAGTAGGAAGAACCGTTTTCTGTTCGTTTTCTCGAAACTCGTTTGTCGGAACTCGTATCCTGTTTGTGACCTGGTATATGGTGACCAGAAGTGACTCAAGTGACTCAAGCCAGTTTAGGTCTGCACAGAGCTCAGCAGAGCACCTAAGAGGTGCTAGGAACCTACCCACAGTGTTTAGGAGTAGAAGTTCCATGGCTGAGTGTATTTACCTGAAGTACCTTTGTTTTCCCATGTCTGGCAGACAGTGTTTGAAGCTGGAGAGCCGTGCTCGCATTGGCTCAAGCCGAGCGGAGCTCGAGTAACTGTGAACAGCGCAGTGAAGAAAAGAGTCCGCACTTTGTGCTGTGGGGTTGAGTGTAACCTTGACTTGAGGTCCCTTAGGCCCCAGTAGCTGTGCCACGTGTTTGAACGTTTGGTCTTGCCTGCGTTGGTACAAACTTCTTAGAGACGGTGAGCTTAATAAACACACCAGGGTAGGTCGTGTCAGGACTGCCTTCGCTCAGCAACGCAGTGCCCTTGGTGGCGCCTGGCTTGACGGCAGTAAGTTGGTGGCACGTTTGATGGCTGCCTGCTCCGGGTAGTAATACTGCTCCAAAGGCTTCTTTTCAACTTCTGCTCTGATGCCATGGCGAAGAACTGGAGCCAAGCATATCAATAAGGCGCTCAAGTGGCAGAAGGGGCCTTCTGAAACAGGATGCCCGTGCACTCACCTCTCAATTCCATAATTCCCAATTAATCGCAGGCGACATAAGGAATTTCTCCATATTCTGCCGGGTGACTTGCCGTGCACCGCTTTAACAAAAACGTTCCGGCAATTGGGACCGAGCCACAAGCGACGCCCATTAAGAACGCTCTAACTGCTTGGTTAAGCCGAGGATCCGCCAAACTGCACGTAATCTCCTGGGGTGAGCTCAACTTCTCACTGTTAACAAAGTGGCCGTAGAAGTGGCCTCCGCTGTCGAAGGTATCAGACTTCGAAGAAGTACAGGCGTGCCCCATTCCGAAGCGCCTCTTCCTTGCTGCCAAGCTTGGCCGGAAGATGCAAAAGCTGGTCACCCTGGTGGTGGACAAGACTGACCGCATGTTGCAACTCTGACCGCAGAATGTTGCCAAGACTGTGCCCCTCCCGTTTGTTCATGGATATGGCGCCACAGGGAAGAGTGTTCTGCGGCTCTGGGGAAATGTGTACCGGCTGTCCACCCTGCCGGAGGCCATTTGGGGCAACGGTGACGCGGTTCCTCTATGGGCCTCTGTGGGGGGGGAAGGGCGACGGACCAGTTTGGATCCAATTTTTTGTGGGGGTCCTTCTGTATTACAAAAAAAAAGAAGCCTTGTCCTTCTGTGGAGTCTTGCCCAAGTGGCGCCTGCTGGTGTGAGGGGCAGGATTAGCGGTGTTAAAGCTACTCTTACCATGAAGCCGGCCTTGGAACACTTGCACGCTTCGGGTTTTTTGGTTCCCGTGTGTTTTCCCACGAGTGAATCATGCACCGTAATTTGCCATACGCCTAAACAAGCCTTGCACAGCTGGAGCATCTCCGGCTCTCAGCTGGCCTTGACCTAACCCCTGGGTGGGGCCTTCTGCTTTTCGGTCAAGGCCTTCTACGCTCTTAGTCTTTTCTAGAGCCTCCAGGCCTCGTAAGTCTGGTGTTTTTGTAGCTTGCACGTCCAGCCATGGCCTACCGTGCGAGCATGCCCATCCGCACAGAAGTTCGCAGCTCTTCAGATAGCGGACGCCACGACTACGTCCTCGAGTGGGATGACTTGGTCTACTTGCACTTGAACAGACTGGCCCTGTTTGCACAACCTGCCCAAGATGACTACGCCGCGCCTTGCCCTGGCTACGAGCCAGGCCCAGAGGATACCACCCCGCCGGTTCGCTTCAGGACTCGCACAGCGCCCACTTCTGCACAGATCAGCACGCCTGAGCCAGCGATGCACACTCCTCTTGGAGCCTCCGCTTTGCCTACTACAACGGATGCACATATGGGCCCCACTGAGCCCCATCCTGGAGCTACGAGATCTACTCCTCTTGGAGCTTTCAACTCAGCTTCTGCAAGTGATACGCCTATGGGTCCCGCTGGGCCCCCCTTTGAAGCTAAGCGTGACACTCCTCTTGGAGCTTCTGACATGCCTTCTACAGCCAATGACTTCATGCCTTCAAAGCCCAACGAGCCTCACGACCTGGTGCACATAAGGTCCCTGCTCGTTTATATGCACAATCACCTGGCCTGCCAAGACGCAATGGGCCGCACTCTGATGCAGGCAGAGGAATCCAGACGCCTGGAGCTGCACGCAGTCTCTGCCCAACTGCAGGAAATACGCACCAGCCTGACCTTCGCCCAGCAGGCCTACGCCGACCTCAGGCATGAGCTCGACAGCATCGCAGCCGACTTTCTGGCCTATCGCATTCGCACAGAAGCGGAGATGTCAAGCCTTAGGGAAGCCTTGGGGCCCATGCCCTCCCAAATCAATACCCTCAAGCGTATTGCAATACTGCCTTATAATGCACATCTTCAGGCCCTGCGTACCTTTCAGGTCCCGGCGAACAGGTGGGAAGAGGCAAATCCCCATGCCTTGTTGCGTAGAGAGCTTCTACACCTAGAGGATCGCCTTCTTCGCCTAGAAGCTGCACAGCCCCCCGTGTGGTTCTGATACCTCACGCAGTTATCGGCTCTTAGCTTTTTCTCGGGACCCCCTTGACTAGCCTTGTCGAGTCACGCCGTGCCCATGCCCCCTCAGCCTAAAAGCCCAGCCTTCCAACCCTGCCCCTGGAATGTCCAGGATTGGAGTGGCACCGAGGACAGCAGTGACACATGCCCAGACGCCTCAGCGTCCTCAGCACAAGAGCCCTTCACACACAGCTTCGCTCTTGCACAGGTCAGGCTGCCTCACCAGGTCAGACCGCCTACAACAGCACCAACGCTGCCACAGCCTAATAATAACCCTAACCCGCCTGATGCCGGCCCTAACACGCCCATACCCCGGCCTAAGCCTAAGCCTCCGCCGCCACAGCACCTGCTGTCTAATGCTGGCTCCATACTGCCCCCGCTGCCTGCTGGCCCCAGATCGGCACAGCGCCAATTCTTCGCCGTGCCCATGCAGAGCTTCTGCTCCCGCTATCAAAACCGCACATGCCGCCGACAGTGTGCCTTGCATATGTCGGCACTGCAACGCGCCCATGCCCACGTGTTCGCTCTACATGGTCTACCCGCACAGGCGCTCATGCCCATAGTGGTACAGGCCAGACACCTCTTTGGCCTCAGCAACATACTGGCCTGCCTCTGGGCCCACATTAGCCCACAAGACCGCCGCTCATTCCACGTCATTGACTGGTGGTCTGCCGCCGATGCCCGCTGGTACTTGGCAGGCCTGCCAATGCCTGACTCGGACGATTACTCCGACCATGGCATCTCATCGGGCACAAGCACCGCTGCCTCAGTGGGTGCCTAGCCCATGCCGGTGCCTCGCGTGAGCACCTCTTCTGCCCATCCTTTGCACGTGCCTACCGGGACCCACGCCGCCATGTCGCACCCGACTTACGCCAATGCCCTGTGAGCCGCACGCTGCCTTGCCTAGTGCCCCCCCCATGCACTGATTGTTCATGGACCCGCCCATCCTGCCCTTTGCTGCAGGTACCTACGCCTTCGAGCTCGGCATCGACTTCATGTACATCGAGGTTGCCAGTTGCCACCTTATTCTGCCTACTAGCTGCACACCGCCCTGAGAGTTGCTGACCGGTTGGTGTTCATACTTCCTCACTGTCAGGCCAATACGCACTTTCTGCCTGCCTCTCTCGCACGACTTCAAGGCCGGATGTGCTCTTGCAGTCGTTCGTGAGTGTTGTTGCCGCACATGCCTTGTTCTCTGCATACGGACATGCCTGCCCATGCGGTCTCTGGAGCCATACCTTGTTGCTCTCAGCGCCGCTTTCACAGCTTCAAGCCTCCCCAGATTCAGTGTTCGCCCATTCTCTCGCCCAGAATGGACACTGCCGACATTCAGGGAAAGCTGCTGGCCTACTTCAACCAGCTCAGCCCCGAAGCCCGCGACCGCCTCCTAGCCAGTGCCCCTGCCCAGGAGACACAGCCTCAACCCGCCTCAGGTTCAGGCAATGCCCAGCCGGGACAGACACTGCCCACCAAGGCCCCGCCACCGGTGGTCACTGGCCAAGCCCAAGCCCAATCGCCTGAATCGGGCTCGACGCCCAATCCAGCCCCGGATGCCTCAGCCTCGTCCTTGCTCGCAGACGAGCTAGCCGATATGAAGAAGTCAGCCTCCACCCGCCGCGGGCAAAAGGCGAAAGCCCTCACACGCAAAGATTGGGACTTCATCGACCCAGCCCAAGGCCTCTCCTGGTCGCCCGACCAGATCCGCCGAGCCCATGGGGATGGCCGCGTCATTCCCAGCCTAGTTTTCAGCTTGTGAAGCACATCGCCAACACGCTTTTTTCGACAGAGGCCGAGACAAGCCCATCTGCCCAGCCCGGCCCACTGCCCTCGGTCTCCGAGACCCGCCCAGCCCGACATCCAAGAGGATGAGGCCCTCAACACGCCCTTGCCCAGAAGCTCCAGCGACGAGGACAGCCCTGTGATCGAGGAGGTCATAGGTTTCGGGGGCGTGCCTATTGCCATGCCCAAGATTGTCAGCCCATGGCCGCCCAAGCAGCCCAAAGCACCTGCGCCCGCAGAACCACAGGTGCCGCCAGCCCCTCCTGCCAAGAGTACCCCGCCCAGCCCGGGGCAGAGCTTGCCCTCCGAGCCCACCAGCAAGGCTGCGCCTGAGCCAGAAGCCCGCCCATCGGCCTCGCCAACCAAGCCCAACCCTCGCATGACCATGGCACAACTTTTGGGGGCAGGACCCGCCAGCCAATGCCGTCTCGGTGGACTGGGACTCCTTCTGGTTCAATGTCGAGGAAGAGTTCATGGCAGCCCAGCCCAAAGGTCCTCCCTCCTGCCCACCGCCCGCACAACCGCCTCAGCAGACCCAAGAATCCCATCAGCCGCCGGGAACCAAGGCCCCGCCGCCGCCTATGCCGCAGGAGCCAGAACCAGCCCACAAAAAGATCAAATGCTCCGTCTTCGGAGCGGATGGCTGGATCCTCAGGAAGGACCAGAGGGGTCGGGTGCACATCACAGAAGCCGACTACGCCAGCCTAGTCGCCCATGCCGACCAGGGAGACCCCCGAGCCCAGGAAGTGCGCTCCTTGGGGTTCAACATTTGGGCCCCGCAATTTGTCGCGGGCCCAGTGGTGCCTTTCTCCATAATCAGCCCACCGCCTACACAGCCCAGCCCAGGAAGCCAACACCTCGCCTCCCACTGCCCAAGAGCAGACGGACTCGCAGAACGCCCAGACCCAGGATGACTTCACGGACCTACTCGGCCTAGGGCAAGACTCCTCGGATCGAGGCCTCCGCAACCCCTTCCCGAACCCACTGCGCACAGGAGGGGACTTCCGGCCCAAGGCAACCAGTGCCAGGTCCATGCCCTGCCCACACTTGCTGATTACGCCCAACGCCGACAGACGCTACCGAGGCACCCTCATCATGCCCAGTGTGTCCCTACCAGATACTTTCAATCTGGCGCCCCACCTTCTCAAGGTCTTCTACGTGGACCATCGAGAACGCCTACGATGCATGCGCCCATGCTCAACACGCCCACACTGCCCCTTCGGCCTCGTGTGTGCACAGATTATGTCGGACAGCGACAGTGAGCATTTGGATCACCTGTGCAGCCGCTGCGTGGAGTTTCGCAGAGCCCACGAAGACCCATGGGGCTGGTTCCATGCCTACGCGCCTTAAAGCCCTGGCAACACGCCAGCATTTTCCCTAATGGCATCGCCTATGCCTTGCCGCCCAGCGTGCCCAAGCCTGGCAGCCCTTGCCCATTCCCGACCCAAGAATTGGGCCTTGTTTTGCATCCGCCGCCGGCCCGAATAGGGGAGAAAAGAAGAGTATGCCAACTGCAGAACCATGTTTACACATGCGACCAGTTGGCCTTGTTTAGCTCCCATGCTTACCTGATGCAGGTGCCCACCATCGAGCCCTTCGAGATGCAGCCGAAGCCCTGTCTCTTCACACACCGAGAAAAGCCTCCTGCCCGCTTCTCTGCAGGTGCCTAGTTCAGCTTCTTGCACAGGATTGCCGCTTTCAGTAACGCCTCCACATGCAAGGAGCGCCCATCATCAGCATTCTGTGAGCCACCCTCTCTGCAGCCATTTTACTCAAACCACCAAAAACATGTTTCCAGGCCACAAGCCACGTGTCGACTGGAGCCCCACTCCTAGTCGAAAGAAGCCCAGGCTACCTAATAGTGGGGATTTAAGCCCTAACCCGCCCTCCCCAGCCTCCCTGCCGGGACTCTCTATCGATCTCCTTTCCGAGATCGAGCCCGACCTCGACCCGATCGAGGACTGGGACCCACAACAAGCTCCCTCAAGCACTGGACCCGACCCCATCGAGGACTGGTCCCCAGAAAATGAGGCCTCATCGCACGCTTGCCCCCCGCAGCAAGTCAGCACGCCTGGGCCGGCCTCCGACTCCTCTCCCTCCTGGGAGGTGCTCGGGGCGGAATCGGTCATTCCGGGTTTTCAGCCCTGCACAAGGGCCGCCATCTCAGTCACAAATCTGTCCCAGCATCTGCCCAAGCCGGTGCCTAAAATGCGGGGAAGACGCCCGGTGCAAGCACCGCATAGCACAGCCTCCCTGCTCCTGCCCCTGTCCGCCTGGCCACAGCCATTGTGCAAGTCCCCACGCTCGGGGCCCGTTCCGAAACACACTGTTCGCACGCTTGGAGGCCCAGCTCCTCCGGCATGCCCCAAGAAATTTCAGACATGCTGGCATGCCACGGCTCCGCTGCCCAAGCCCCCCCCCTAAGCCTGCTCCCGCTAGTGCCTACCTGAACAAGCCTAAGCCTCTACCGGCTCAGCCACCGGCAACGCCTAACCCCGCCAGCTCCTCTACGCCGGACATCGAAGCACCATCGAAGCGCCAAGAGCCAATCGCTCACCAACAACGTTTGGGGCCACCTCGCCTTCAAACGATGCTTGCCAAAGAAGATGCTCGCAAACTAGAGTGCAACCGAATTTGGCTGCTCCTCCTGGACAAGCTGAGGGACACCAGCTCCCTCTGGACGGAGACGACCCAATCTCTCACGCCTGAAAGACTTCGGGTCCGAGCCATCTCAGCCTACGCCGCCTCCAGCCTCGAGGCCTACCTGTCCAGATGCACCAGATTCTTAGACTTTCTGCAGGCACACAACATAGCCTTTTCAACGCTATCCCTGGTGGAGCTCGCCGACTACCTCGAGGCCGCCTTCGCCTCCCTTGCCCAAGACAGGGACGTGTGCCAAATCTCGCCCAAGACAACCCTTAAAGCCCTGTCTTGGCTATCGCGCATGGCTCAGGTGCAACACCTGCTGGAGCTACTCAGCAATCCACTCATTTCAACCTACAGAATCGACATTAAGCCCAGAGATCGCAGAGAAGCCCTGCCCATTCCCATGGCATGCATCGTGTCATGGGAACGCCTCGTTTGCAAATCTTCCACCGGTACCCAAATGGTCCTACTGCTCGGAGCCTTCCTTTTGGCCTACCACGCATGCCTACGATTCGGCGACCTACAACGCATTCGCCTAAGCAGCCTCAGCCTGACAACGCAGGCCCTCCGGGGAATTTGTTGGACGACCAAAACCTCCAGGTCGGGACAACCTTTTGCAGTAACCCTGACCGGCATATCAGGAAGAGGGCCTTCGACCTCTTGGTGCCTAGCCTACCTCACACGCCTACACGCCTCTTGTCGCAACGGAACGCTTTTGGGGCTCTTCATCCACCATCCTGCCAAATTGGGCCAACCCATCTCAAACCGGGGTTGCATTCCAATCGCCCATGTCCTACACCCAGGCTTTGCCAGCACTGCGCTCTGCGCTGCAGCTCCACGAAGAAGCCTCGACAGGCGCCCTCGACGCCCAGGAAGCACTCAACTTCACCCTACACGGCCTCAAAGTGGGGCTTCTTAGCCCAGCCAAGCAACTCAGGCTGCCTGCCGACCCGCGCCGGAAGGCGGGCCACCACAAGGTCAGCTCCGAGCTGTACGGGAGGGACGACACAATCGACAGCCTATGGGTACAGGCCTCGGTGGCCCACAATGTTTCCACAGGCATCCGAGATGGCGCTGCACAGCGAGGCGTGTGCCCGACACTCCTTGAGCAAGTCTCGGAAGGCGTCTGGGCAGTCCATGGCGTGGAAGAAAGAGGAGCGGGGGTACGCGGTGATCTCGAGAGAGTCTCAACGGCTGCGGTGTAGGCGTGCACCTGGGCGGGCAGGCAAGAGGGTGGGGGGGGGAAGGGGGTTGGCTCAACATGGATGCACTGCGGGCCGTTCCTGTTTTACTCTGAAGGCAGGCTCTGGAAGGCGTCCAGGGCAAGGCGGCAGGCTTTATGGCGGCACATCCTGGATGGGTCAGGCTCAGGCATTATGACCCCGGCGTCCCCCATGACTATCCCACAGGCGGTGCGCCAGTGAGTGTCTGAGATCGGATGGGCCAGATGTACTGCCCCCCAGTGTCCATTGGCGACGATTGCTGTCGCCGGGTCCAGGGGGGTGGCGAGGCTGTGGGGCTTTGTGTGGGCTGTCTTCCTCACTGGAGGAGTATGAGTCTTCGTCCAAGGTGGACTCATCGGAGGCATGTTTTGAGGCTGATTGTTCCCCGCTGGACCTGGAGGGTGAAGGCGAGGAGGGCTCGTTGGCGTCGTCATCAATGGCGGCCTGGGTCTCAAACTCACGCGCGTACATGAATCTGGGAATGATGGGCAGCATGTGACTGATTGTCATCGATTTGGGCACAGGGCCCGGCGGCACCTGAAAGCTGGGCTCTATGGTGGGGGCTTGTCCCCCGCGGGCTATTGGGCGAGTGGGCCTCCATGGCGGGTACCAGTCCATGTCGGACTTTGCCTGGGCCTTCCCGTGTGTGGAAGCCCTCAATCCCTTCAGACACGCCCTGCCTGAGGCAGTCACACAAGAACTCGGCCCAGGAGGCCTAGACTCCTCTGTGGAGATCGCCCGCCTACGACGCGCCCTGGACAACTGCCACAAGCTGGTCCAGCGGGGGGGACGCCCAAGTGCCCACGCCAAACACAACCCAACTGCCTACGCCCATCATGCCTTCGCAGCCTTCACAGTGGATGGAGCACCTGCCACCACGCCTAACCCAAGACATAGTCCAGGATATGGTGGACAAATTCAAGGCAAATTACCCAGGCGAACTGCTAGATCAAGACAGTATGCCCAGCATCCGCCTACTCAGCCTTGTGCACCACAGCCTAAAGCCCGGGGAGAAGATCCGTTGGATCCCTTGGCAATTTCGCCTATCCGCCCGCCAATACCAGGAGCACATGGAAGCCAAGACTGCCAAGCCCTTACGCGCAGAAGCCCAAATCATTGCCTCTGCCTTCTTTGATGAAACCCCAGAAGTGCCCGTAGAGCATATGCGCCTGGCGGCAGCCTGGTTAGACAGGATCCAAACTGTCTTCCGCAACGCCTGGGCCCTCTGTGGGGCCGCACACCTGCACAACCTGAAGGCCCTTGACAAAAAGGTCAAGGAGCTTTGCCTGCACCAACCAGATGCACGGCTAGGCCTAAGAACGCCCACAACCGCCGAGCTCATCTCTGCCGACAGGAAAATATGGGCCTCGCTGTCGGAACTGGTCGCACAATCATGGAGCCTTGATGACGCCCTACATGAGATCACCTCCATCAGGAATGATCTCTCTAGCCTACTGCAGCTACGCCCAAAGATGCAGCCCGACAAAGGTCAGCCCAAGGCCAAGGCAAGAACGCCGACAGTCCCAACAAGCGCAAATCGCCCAACACGCCCCCCCCACCTCCCAAGATGGATAAGGGAGCAGAGAGACCGCCTAAGAAGGGGAAGGGGAAAGGGAAGATTACAAATCTTCCGTCCAACTGGGTTGCCGTGCACAAGGGACAGCCCATTTGCCGCCGCTATCAAAACGGCCAATGCCAATTCAAGGAGTGCAAGTTCGCCCACGTGTGTGCAGTTCGAGGGTGTGCACAAAAGCACCCCGCCAATGAGCACGGCAAGCCCAGGACCTGAAACAGTCCGGGCCTCGCACCCCCAGTGGCGGGCCCGGACCGTCCCCGACAACTGGGACCACCACTCCCCATGCCGGACCCGCAGCTCCCGCCCACGTCGGAAGCCTCGGCTTTCGGGCTCCCAGCCCCCAGCTGCCTCAGGCCAAGGACCAATCGCCTGCCAAGCCTGCAGCCGACATGTCCCTGAGGCCACACAGCATACCGCCTACCCAGCACACAGCTCTCGCAGTGCCCGACAGCCTCCGCACGACAGAGGCCAGACCTCGCACAGTCTTCTTTCCGAACATTACCTGGAAACGCCCTGCAGATACCTCGCAAACTGCGGGCAGCAGACCTCACGACAATCCGCCCACACAGGCACGAAAGTTACTGGACCTATTCGCAGGGAAGTCCACGCCCATCTCAGCCGCCGCCAGCCTGCAATCCATACCGCGCTGGGAGCCCATCGACATTGCGATAAATGCCCAACATGACATCCTGCAGGATGCTTTCTTTCACCGCCTACTGCAACGCCTGGTCGGGTTCGATCGGCCTCCTGGTGGCCGCACCTCCGTGTCGCGACTACTCCATCCTCAAACTAGCGCCCGGGGGCCCCCCCCCTTGCCGATCTCCAGAGCACATGGACGGCCTACCGTCCAACTCGACCGAACTCCAGCATCGAGCCCTTGAAAGCAAAACCATACACCTGAGGTG